TATATTTTTTTTATTTATTTTTTTTTTTAATCTATTTAAAATAGATACAAATATAAAACAGTTATTTTAAATATTTCACATTATTACTTTTTTACTGTATTTTTGATCAAATAAATATAAATACATTCAAAAATCTTACAGACCCCAAACGTTTTAACAGTAGTGTATGTCTACAAGTTTGTAGTGCACAAATCACAATATGGCAGTCTTGTGACTGGGAAAAATTTAGAAAGAATTTTAGGAGCAAATTAAAGGAGTATTGATAAAGCTTCAATCCATTTGGTTGATCAGTATCTGAATATTGATTAGCCTCCATAAGTAAGTCTCACTGTTGTGACAAACGCTTTATTATCCACTTAATGTCTGTATGGACTCCTGCTATGAACTGACCCAATCAACTGTGCCCCATATAAGTGGGATCACTTAAAAACACATTAATTATTTAGCCTTTGAAACAGATAAACATGTGATTAGAAGGCAGTACGGTCAGCGAACACCCTCAGGTTGAAGGGTTCATGAATTACACCTCAGAGAAAGTGAGTGAGTCAGTTTTATTCACTTCATCCACAACAGATTCTCTCTCTTTCCCATTACAGCTTGTGTTACTGTCCTCAGACTTTGCTTTCTTCCTCCGTCCCCCTCTTCTTGACCCTTTCATTCGTCATTCCCCCTTCCTCTCCTCCTTTCCAGTGTGAGCGATTGCATGGCGGCAGTGTTAGAGTAAAGCTCTTCTCAGCTGATGGAGAGAACATTAATCAGGTGATGCATATCAGACAGACGAGTGAGAGGGAGGAGGGGAGGAATATGTTCACATGCTTCCTCCTAATAGCGTTCTCTGTGTTCCCTCGTTTATTTCGCCGTCCAATGTTCATTCATCACTCCGCTTCTGAGGATGCGCTGGAGTGTCCACTTTCAGCACGGATTGCTTTTCCTCTTTATCTCTTTCTCAGAATCTCTCCTGCATTCTCTTGCCTCTTGTCTGTTCCAATACACACCACTAAATTCCCTTGATACATGAACAAAAATATATTTTTAATTAAAATAATGTAGCTTAAAATAATGTAAATCCAGCTTCAAGGCCTATCAGAAAGAAGTATATATATTTTTGTACAAAAAAAAAAAATTTAATTCAAATCTTAATTCATTGTTGTGTATACCTGATAGTACTAGCTGAGAGGTGTCCATAGGATCCACTGGTGGATGAGCTGGAGCGGGAATTATTAAGTATAGTGACTAGAGAATTGGGCGAGGTGCGAATCATGGCCTGCAGGTCAAAACTGGGATCAGACAGGGAAGGGGAGCTGGGAAGGGGTCGTTTTCTGCTGGGCCGATTTGTGAGCCTAGGACTTGGAAATCGTGAAGCTGAGAAGACACAGACAGAGAGAGAAAACAGAGAAAGAACATAATATGTTATGTATTTAAAACTGGTGGTATAATAACAGGTACAAAAATCAATAAAAATCATTTTTATTTACTTTTATATTTTACTTATTTTTTATTTTTTTAATTTAAATAAAATGTATTTGTTTTTATTTCATTTAAATTAATTTAATATTTAATAGTTTATTTTTTAAAAGAGCTATCGGTAAAAAGAGCTAGCTTTTACTATCGGTAGAGAGAGAAGTGGAGCGCACAACAGTCGAACAATGACATAATTTGCATAAAAGTTCCCATTCTCTTGCGGTTCATATATTGTTTTTTAGATTTTACCATTTTACCATAGATTTTTTGCATTCAACAACAACCACATTTTCTGCATTTTATACACATTGTAAAAACACATAACTGCAGCTCCACTTTTCTCACTGCTTTCTGGTAGCGTCACTGCGATATTGAATCATGTTTAATTGGGTTGAATAGTGCGTTAATGCTGAATGGAATTTCACTGGGTTGTTTTTGAAAAGCTTTCACTAGAAAGCAGATTGAACGCAGACAGGCCTTCCACTCACGCACAATGACTGGCACCTACAGATTAAGAAATGACTTTTGTTGTCTTTTCATTCGCGAATGTCACAAACAAGAAAGAAGGGAGAAATGGAGGGAGAAGTGAAAGGAGGAGGGGAAGAGAGGGGTGCGTGGGGATGGTGGTCTTTTGTTGTGTGGAGTGACACAATGACTTTGTGACTCATTTTTTCTTTCAGTTGTTCTTTACATTTTTTAAGAGAAAGCACGCAAACAAAACAAGATTATGCTCTCTCTTTCTCTCTCTCTGACTCTCTCCCTTCTCTCTTTCTTGTTTGACACATACAGTGATTACAGGGTCTGTCATTCACATTCAAATAACTGTGTGTGTGTGTATTCCCACATTTGGAACATCTTACCACATTGCTGGCATTCTGCTTAGAACTGTGATTAAAGACTTTGTAAACAGACACAAGCACAAACTTACACACACACACACACACACACACACAGGTTTGTTTTTGTGAAAAGTGGGGACATCCCATAGGCGTAATGGTTTTTATACTGTACAAACTGTATGTGCTATTGCCCTACACCAACCCTACACCTAAACCTACCCCTCACAGGAAACTTTGTGCTATTTCAGATTTTCAATACACTCCATTCTGTGTGATTTATAAGCGTTTTGAAAAGTGGAGACATGGGGTAATGTCCTGAAAAGTCACCTTCTCCTTGTAATACCTATGTCATACCCTTGTCATTATACAAATTTATGTCCTCATTTATCACAAACACACACACACACACACACACACACACACACAAATCCACATACTTAAGCACCAATACTATATACATTATAACACACACTCATTTACAATAATATGTGCAGTCTATAAGGCCATTTTGATTTTCCTAATTCAAAGACCAGTTTGGATCAGCATTAACCTCAAGATGGTCTTAACTAGTATTAAATCAATAATTCTGGTCTATTTATGACATGAGCTGGTTAAGCTGGTAGAACAACGAATGCAAAAAGATGTTTTAAACTGGTAATTTAAGCTTGTATGAAAGCGCTAAGTGTTCCAGTTTTTGACAAACGTGTTTTACATCGGCAATGTTGGTTTATTTTTTGACAAAAGTTTTGTTAAGTAGAACAGCTTGACTAGCATAATCATGATAGGCAAAATGAATTGGCCAAAACATACAATTTACAGGTCAATAATATGCAAAAAAGGTTTTTAAAAGTTTTTTTTTTCTGTTTTTTTAAGATGATCACTAGCTAGGTCAAGGTTTTGACAGATTTTAATATATTAGATTAGCAGTACTAATACAGTATATTACTGGAACAGGCTGGTTAAGGACATTTAAAATGTTGACAGTTGTAACTATGATAGGTAAACAAAAGCAAAAACCAGTTTGAAAGTGCACAAAACACCTTATACCAGTAAATAAGATGAGAAAAAAAAATGCCATACAGTTAACTGACCTCAGTGCTGGTTTATTAGTGGCACAAGCCAGCTCAGCTTGGTAAAACAGTTTGACTAGTTTGACTGGTTCTCATTGGTTGAATATTTTTGTGGACAATGAGGGGCCTTGGAGCCATTAATGTTGAGAACCACTGGACTAGTTTTCAACCATTATGGGTGAAAAGCCAAACCAGTAAGAAAGTGCCCAAAACATACCAACCACTGAATAATTGCAGATTTGTAGGATGAATAAATATTACATGCTTGGTCAAAAATATTTTAACAAAAATGTAAATGTAAATGTGAATGTGAATTGTAAATGTAAGTGTGGAAAAAACAAAAACAATAGTTCCACCTTAAAAATCCATCTACATCCCACAGAGGGTCCAAATTGAGGTGTTTAATAGAGGCAGAATTTAATTGACATTGGCTAATTAGCAGCTAATGCATTAAAAAATGCATGGCTTGAACACACATACGCAGGACAGGTTAATTCCTTCATTCATCAGTTTTTCTCTAAAAGTAATTATACTGAGCTCTAAATTACGACTGTGCTATCCCATCCCCATTACTAACAAAAGCTCCTAGATAACGCACTTCTACTCATTCACTCCCCTTCTCAGTGTCTATATATCATAAAAGAGAGCTTTAAAGTGTTAATTTGGCTGGCATGGAACACACATTGTTAAAATAGGAAGAGTTACTAAGGGCTGATCACAGGCGATTTGAAGTAGGGGGGATGTCAATGTCTCCATTTGAAAACAATGGCCCTAATTGTTTTATTTCAGTCTATTAATCTTAAACAGTCCCACAGAAAGGTCTCTCCAGTGATGAATAGTGGGACATTCCAATTCCCACTTAATAGCAATTAATTTTCTGATAGCCATGGAAGTTTGACTAGTTTTAATTAGTTTGTGAGGAACAGGGAAGCCGGTGACAGGCTGACTAAATGCATTCTCATCAAAGACTAACAGGCCAGTCCACCTGACCTCTCTTCGAATCACTGTGCCTTTAATTTCCTATTTACACTTCAAAATAACTAATTTGCATATATCCTGTGCACACTTACCCTCATTTCTGAAAACAATAAGACAATGGAACAATTTAACCAGTTTAATTAATTGGAGATGTTTTAAAGGAAAGATTTGCAACTGGTTCCTTATAGTCAGTCTCTCTCTCTCTCTCTCTCTCTCTCTCTCTCTATATATATATATATACATACATACATATAGCTTTTGCTTTCTTCAATGGTTAAAGTTCTGGGTATAAATAGTCTCAACCTACTGTAAATCTGCCCCTCTGATAAGAGGATGGGTATGTTGATGGTAGACATCAGAAAAATGTAAGCAAGTGGAGAACTTACTTTCCATAGCCTGCAGGTACTCCATATGAAGGGCATTGCTTGCAGGCCATGTTGTGGATGCCACTGAAGGAATGATGTCAGTGTACGGGCTGCGGTGACCTGCAAGTAGGGCCATCTGGTGGTAGTACTCTGCTGTGGTCAAACTGGCGTGGGGTGCTGAAGCATCAAATGATGACATTAAAACATCAGTCATTAGACAAATACACTACTGTTCAAAAGTTTTGGATCAGTAAGATTTTGAAAGAAATTAATTATTTTTATTCAGCAAGGATAAAATAAATACGATTTCATAAGATACGTCTTATAAAAACATTAAAAGATATTATCCCAAACTTTTTAACGCTAGTAAAGGAATACATAGGTCAGTTATTCAAGACTTGTAGTAACATATGCATGTTACTACAAGTCTTGAATAACTGACCTTTTTTAATCTCATAATTACATTTTTTTAATAACTGACCTTTTTTTTTCTAAACTTGTGAATCAATGGTTTTGACTTCAGAAGACTTGGAATATAGCACACGAGTCTGGACTTCGGGAGTACTGGAGTCTGGTGTTTGGACTACTTTTATCATACTTTTATAGCGCTTTATTGTCATTATTGGAGCTTGACAACCTCAGGTCCCATTCACTTTCATTATATGGATAAGAGAGCCTTGACATTCTGCTAAATATCTTCTTTTCTGTTTCACAGGCGAAAGTAAGTTATACAAGTTTATCTAATTAATTTAATTTAATTATTAATTTTAATTTGGGGGAAAGAAAGAGGGCATAATTTTAGATGTGAACTTAAATTGCCTTTCTCTCTGATTTGTTCTGCCTCTCTTTCATGTATTGCCTCTATCTTCCTCCTACACTTTAGCAACAGAGTGATAACAGGTCCTAGAAAAGCATCCTAAACATAAACTTTTGGCAACATGCTTTTCTATGCAAACAACACAATTGAGAGAGCACACTCACAAAAACACATACACACAAAAAGAGAAAAAGAATGAAAGAAAGACTGACACAGTGCATCTCAATGCAAATACAAAATAATTTTAGCTGCACAAAGTGTTGTGGCTAATTCCTGTCTTTCCCAGAATAAATGAACAGAGCAGATGAAAGGATCTCGACTGAGGCCCAAACTGAATGCATGGAATATGCATCTCTGATTGGTTGTGTGAATGTAAGAAGAAATTCCATATTAATTAGATGAGGGTATTATAACTTAAGTAGTGAGGGAGGGGTTAGGGGGCTTCCTTAATTGTCTCTGTTGTTCCTTCTTGCCTTGGCTCTTGCATTAAGCTGTAATGTGCCTCATTTCCCATGCATGTGTAGCTTTGTGGATTTTCTAAATGGGAGATGTTGGCATCGAACTGATGGACTGGCGGTGGGGAATGGCAGGGGCAATTTTTAAGGATGAATATGCACCCTCAGTATGGTGCACCACCAGAGCCAGGAGGCATTCTGCTGGTGGAGCATGCTGGCATCTGGGAAATTACAAAAAAAAAAAAAAATTCAAAAGAGGGTTGGAAAGCAAGCACAAAAAATGATCAAGTGAAAGAGCGATAAATCTCCCATCAATGTTTGGTTATTCTTTCCACTATCATGAACTGGTGGCTGCATATGAACGCAAAATATTATTAATAATTATAGTTTCAAAATATATATAAGGGATGTGCCCGAAGCCAAATAACTTATTCAGTGAAAAAGTGAAAGTGAAGTGACATGTGATTTGTGCTCTGCATTTAACCCATCCAAGTGCACACACACAGTAGTGAACACACACACACAGAGCAGTGGGCAGCCATATTGCTGCGGCACCTGGGAAGCAGTTGGCTCGGTTGGCACCAACCGGTTCGGTGCCTTGCTCAAGGGTCTCACCTCAGTCGTGGTATTGAGGGTGGAAGAGAGCGCTGGTTATTCACTCCCCCTGAGGCTCGAACCCACAACCTTCGGGTTACAAGTCGAACTCTCTAACCATTAAACCATAGTCACTTTTCTCAAGATCAATCTTTTCTGGATAACAGGTAAGCCACAATTATATTACTGATACACAGAAATTTCTGCAACCAAAAACTGAAAAAAACAGCAATCTTCAGTTTCAGCCAAAATAGTTTTGAAGGGCCAAAACAGTAAAGTTTAATTAGTGTTTTTCCGATGGCGCATTTTGACTGTCAGTGTCTATGTTGTGTTTACATGTGGATAAACTACAACAGGTAAACATATCAGCTGTGTGGATGTTATTGCTTAAAGGGGAGTTTCATGCATTCTGACTTATTTACACTGTTAAGCATGGCCAAAGTTTCAAAAAACGAGTTGGACGCATGACGGAGTATTTCTGTACCAAATACACTCCTTCAAGGTTTGTATAGTATAACTTTGTAAGTTTCTGAAAGTTTTTTTCGAGTATGACCCTGTATGACATCATAAAGGACAGAATTCCTTGTATGGGCACTTCTCCCGGAAGAGCACGCGTACACAACAACCAGAGCGCGAGTATGACAGTAAATCAACGTGCTTCATTCGGGTTATGGAAGTCGTCGGCAGCGCTGCACAGGACTTGGTCGAGAAGGATTTGTCATTTTGTTTCTATATCACGAAATCAACAATGCCACCAAAGAAGTGTGTTTTTGGTTGTGAGGGAAAGTTAACCTTGTTCAGCTTCCCAAAGAACCCAGCTTTAAGGGAATTATTTATGTCGATGTCACAGCTTGCAGACGATCGCTACCCAAAAACTCTTTAACTTCGTCTCCGTCCATGGCATGCCTCCAGGCAGTGGCGCAAAAATGGGGTATGCAGTATATGCAGTGCATAAGGGCGCTGCACGGAGGGGGGCGCCATCTTGCCAAAATCATTTTGTGAAAATCTTCTTTAACTCTTTCCCCGCCCAACATGGAATTTTCAGTTATTTATGAGAAAACGCTTCCCCGCCAAACACGGAATTTTCCGGGTCTCCGCGTTCTCACTGTTATACACTCGGGGAGCTATACGCATCTCCTAAATGAGTCTAGAATGTGCCGATCAAAAACACATGCGAGTAAGGCACAGAAACTAGTGATCTCGTATGTATGCATATGAAAAACAATGCGATCACCAACAATAAACAGCATGTAAATGAAAACTGCCTAATGTTACTGAGTAAAATGTCGATTCAGGATGTGGCAAAGGACTGCAAGCTTTGGGGGTGTTGATGGAAGAAATCTACTGCATCTTTGCTTTGATCATCCTACTGAATATGATCCAGATGTAGTATTTGA